TGTGTGCTGGATGAGTGTGGTCCTTCATGATGCAGGTGGCCCTCTTCTTGCATCTGGAGGTGTAGATGTCTGTGATGGTGGGGAGACTGACTCCAACATCTTCTGTGCAGCCTTCACCACTCTCTGCAAAGCTTTTCTTTCTGCAGCTGTGCAGCCTCCATGCCACACGTTGATGCTGGAGCACAGGATGCTCTCCACTGCACACCTGTAGAAGGAGGTGAGGACTGAGCTTCCCAGACCAGCTCGCCTCAGCCGTCTGAGGAAGTAGAGTCTCTGATGAGCTTTCTTGATCAGGCTGGTGGTGTTGTTGCTCCAGCTGAGGTTGTCATTCATGTGTACACCCAAGTACTTGTAGCTGGAGACCACTTCCACCGCAGATCCTCTTATGTTCAGGGGGGTGTAGGTGTTTTTGTTCCTTCTGAAGTCCACAATCATCTCCTTTGTCTTCTTCACATTGATGTGAAGGTTATTCTCTCTGCACCAGCTCTCCAGGTGTTCCACCTCTTGCCTGTAGCTGGACTCATCATTGTTTGTGATGCATCCCACCACCACTGTATCATCTGCAAACTTTACAATGTGACAGCCTGGATGGGTAGCTGCACAATCATATGTGAGCAGAGTAAACAGAAGGGGGCTCAACACACATCCCTGAGGAGAGCCAGTGCTGAGGGTTATGGTGGAGGAGGAGAGGTTGTGGATCCTCACTAACTGTGGTCTGTTTGTTAAAAAGTCTAGTACCCAGTTGCAGATGGAGGGGCTTAGTCCTAGTGTGGATAGTTTGTCCATCAGGGTTTGGGGGATCATGGTGTTGAAGGCGGATGTGAAGTCCACAAAGAGCATACGGACGTAAGAGTTTTTCTGCTCCAGGTGGTTGAGCGCAGTGTGGACCACAGAGGAGATTGCATCCTCTGTTGATCGGTTCTCACGGTATGCGTACTGATGAGGGTCCTCGTTGATGTTGATGGTTGTTTTGATGTGAGTCATGACCAGTTTTTCGAAGCATTTAGCGACTATCGGGGTGAGGGCCACTGGCCGATAGTCATTCAGACCAGTCACTGTAGAGCTTTTTGGGACTGGGATAATGGTGGCAGTCTTCAGGCAGGTGGGAACTGTCTCCAGGGTAAGTGAGGTGTTAAAGATGTCTGCCAGCACCTCACAGAGCTGATCAGCACATTCCTTCAACACTTTTCCGGGGATGTTGTCTGGGCCAGTTGCTTTGTGCGGATTAATCCTCCTGAAGGTACTCCTTACTTCTGCTGAGGTCACGCTGAGATGCTCTTCATCCGGTGGCGAGGTGAGTCTGGTGCTGGGTGGTCTGTTCGGGTCTTCAAAGCGTGCATAGAACTTGTTGAGGGCATCAGGCAGAGATGGGTCTTTGGGACATTGTTCACTCCTTCCTTTATAATCTGTTATGCACTTAATGCCCCTCCACATGCTCCGAGGGTCTTGTGAGATGAATTGACCCTCGATCCTCTTTGCATATGTGGCCTTGGCCCTCTTAATACCAGCAACCAGCTCTTTTCTTGTCCTACTCAGCTCCTCTGAGTTTCCAGACCTGAAGGCAGTGTTCCTGGCTTCCAGCAGGGTACGCACCTCTGCATTCAGCCAAGGTTTTCTTTTTTCAAGGTTTTTCTTTTTTCAAGGTTTTCAAAGTACATCCTCATTTCCACTACATCCAGAGTGTTGTACTTCCTGTTGAAAGAGTGTAATCTCTCTTCAAACACAAAGTGGTCTTTGTTACAGATTGCGTTAAAAGATTCTAACAAGTTTATTTTTTGCTCTCGCTCCCTCCAGACATGTGGTACCTGCCATTTGTAGTCTGTGGCTTCTTCCTACTTATTATCCCAGTGTGGGTCATTGTTGCCAGTCACTCTCCGCCGGTCAGAGAGCTGCTAAAGTCAGGCTGGCAGCCAGTTATTTCAGCCATGTTGATCAGCAGGTGAGTCCACGACAGAAAACTGTGTTTTTGATGTGAACACAATGTTTGATACAAATATTACGTACAAATCACACATAAAGCTTGTGTCAGAGCTTTAACTTATGTAGTGTGTGTGTGTGTGTGTCATTGGTAAATGGTAAATGAACTGTACACAGTAAAAATGCCAGTGTTGAATTAACACCCACAGTGTTAATTTTAACACCAACAAAGTGTTTATACAGTATGTGTCCAAACTACATGGTGTTAAAATAACATTTATGAAAGTGTTAAAAGATTAACACTTTTTTTTTTGTTAAATTAACACCAGACATTGTTAATATTCAACAATACCGAGAGTCACATTAACATTACAATGGTGTTGGTGTTAAACTATAATGTTAAAAGGAACACCAGTTTAGTGTCGATCACAAAACGTGGTTTTAAAAAGGTAAATAATTGACTCCATGAGGTGTCAATATCAACCAAATCCAGTGGAAAAATATTCAAAACAATACACAGAAATGGAAAGTTTAACTTTTATTAAACCCATGTCAGTATTCAATGCACAGCTCATACAAAACAGCAGTGGGACACAATATATGTTCTTTCATCATTATCAGCTGAAAACTGCCTGTCATAAGGCTGATAATATATCAGATCAGAGACACAAATAACAGCAAACACATCATCCACAATCACTACTGTATTCTGAAAGCATTCAGATGATCATCAAAATACTCTGTAATGACTTTAGCTGTCACAAGGAATGCTTCATCATCCTTAATTATGATGTTAATGTTTTTTTGAAAAACAGGCATTTCATTTTCAGTACTTGTACAGACAATCATTCCAATGTGGTATTCTGTTCCAAAGTTTCTCACCCATGAAACTGTGGATACACAAGGCACATTCAAACTGGGGCAAGACCTTAAGACCTCACTGCAATCTAGCTTACTTGTTTGGTAATCTTTAAGAGGGCCAAACTGAAACCTTTGAAAGTAAAAATTCTCCCAATGAAAAGCCAGCTGCCTCTGGTGCTTCTTCACTAGTGTTTTAGTTATATTCTTAAAGTTCTTTACAGATTTCTTGAAGAAATTGTGTTTACCTTCAAATCTCATACACCACACATGGATGAGTGGTCCTATTTTTCTGATGCATCTGGGAAAATGAATCATCAGATGATGTTTTGGAATCAACCTCTTATCTGTAAATACAGACTTAAAAGAGTTTATGATGGTCAGAAATCAAATGCTTTAAGAAATAAGTCATACCATCTGTGATTTTTGGTGAGAACACAATATTGACAATTTGAATCAAAAGAAGAATTACTCTCCAGTAACTGTTGTTCCTGGCAATTAGATCTCCAAAAATCAAGGGTGTATTGTGCAGGAGGCACCATGACTGAATAGCATTGAGGCCCAGGTCATTGCTACTTTCCATTTTGACTGCACTAGGTCTGTTATTTCTCTCTAGGTATCCATAGTTTAAGCTCTGTATCCTTTCTGAAAGTGTGTTTAAATCTATGGATGTCCTAACCATGTACTGAAAAAGAAGCTGAAGTTCATACTGAACGACACCTTCCAACAGGTCATGCATAATATCAACTGCATAGTTGTTTGAACAATGAAAATACTGCAGTGCATTAAGAGGACACTCTCTTTTTACACCAAAAGAATGGACAACAGTGGGATTTTGTGCCACAGCATTGCAATGTTCTGAATAGAGCTCTTCTGTGCGAAAAATTAGGTCTTGGTCGTCCTCACTGAATACTGACTGAAACTTTGTTTTATCAGTTAAACAAAACCGGCAACAGTAAGTTGCACTGAAGGATTCAACTAAGCCAAAAAGGCTATGCAATGCCAAATTATCACCAGTAACTGAACAATTGAACCCCTTAATGGTGTGTCAGAAAATGGCATCTTAATGCCTTCTATCTCAAGACATTTCAAGTCATTAATAACAGGCTCCAAGATGGGACCAAAACCACACTTCTTCAAGTCCTCACTATGAAAAAGAGAAACAAGATGAATGTTCATCAAAACTGAATTTAGTTTAGCTGGCAAGTTTCTTAAAATAAAATAAATACAGCCAAGTTTATGTGAACCCCTTTTGGGTCCCAGTGGATTTGCGGTTTCAAAATCGTCATTAAAGCTGTAAGCAGCATTGAAGGCCCTCGCAGCAAAGCGCCACTTTTGGCATCAGTCGTGACCGTGGGCGCTCCAGCAATGCCTCCAAGTCGCCGTCGTGAACGCTTTCATGCCATTCCTGCACGCATCCACCAGGGTGCGCATATGCCTGAAATTTGCAATCTGCCCATATCAGTATTAGAGGGTGTGAAGTTGAGTCATATGTTAAACCACAATATCAATGTGTTTAGACGTGCTCACAGATTATGCACCAAAAATCTGGTTCTGATCGGATGATATATCACTGAGATATAACTGCTGGAATATCGTAGGGGGCGCACTTGAGTCAAATGTTAAAGAACAAAACCAATGTGTCTAAGTGTTCACTGATCATGCACTATAAATCTGGTCCAGATCAGATGGTGTATCACTGAGATATAACAGTTTGAATAATGTAGGAGGCGCACTTGAGACAAAATTAAAAAAAAAATACCAATGTGTCCATAAGTGCTGAGTATTGACGCACCAAAAATCTGGTACAGATTGGATGATATATCACTGAGATATAACAATTTGAATAATCTAGGGGGTGTACTTGAGTCAAATAATAAACAACAATGCCAATGTGTCAGGAAATGCTCATAGATGACGCAACAAAAATGTGGTGCAGATCGGATGATGTATCATTGAGATATAACTGTTAGAATGATGTAGGGGTCGCTCTAGAGTCAAAAATTAAAAAACAATAACAATGTGTCCATAAGTGCTCACTAATCACACACCAAAAATCTGGTTCAGATCAGATGTTGTATCACTGAGATATAACAGTTTGAATATTCTAGGGGGCGTACTTGAGTCAAATATTAAACAACAATGCCATTGTGTCAGGAAATGCTCATAGATGACACAACAAAAATCTGGTTCAGATCGGATGTTGTATCACTGAGCTATAACTCTAGGAAGAATGTAGGAGACGCTGTTGAGGCTATTGGCCACTTATCATGGTTACCTGTTCAAGATGTGGATAAAGATCGATCATAGTGATTTTGGTACACCTCGGCTCAAATCTGTGCAATTTAGAGCCAAACGTATTACAATGGCCTCACTTCTTGATTTGCCACACCCACATCCTCCAACAAAAACGGTTTGCACTTTAAATCAAGTCAGACCATTTTATCTGTCTTCTAACACAGGATCATCATGATTAGGTCAATGGTGTCAAAGAGGGAGCTTTCCAAGTAAAAAAAGAGACTTCCTGTTCCGAGAGGGCGGGGCTTTGAGGACATCAAAATATGATCACAGTGGATCGTCGGGCATCCAACAGGGATGAGTCATGCCAAGTTCGGTGCTTTTCGGTCTTTCAATGTGAAAGTTGTAGTGTTTTAAAATTTATGGTGTGAGGCGCAACTTTGAGGCCTTGCCACGCCCCTTTAACATATAGAAGAACGCAAGCTTTTGCTAAATTTTATTCCCCAATGTGTTAAGGGCAGATTAACCAAGTGTGAAGGCAATCGCTCAAAATGCCTAGTAAGAGTTTGTTAAAATGCACCATTAGAAAAGCCCATAATTGACTCTTTGACCCAAAATGGCCGATTTCCTGTTGAGTTTGGACCAGCGCTCAGAGACTTTTTCATAGGTCCTGAGAAGATACAGATGTTCACCGTGTTTCAGAATTATCAGGTAAAAAATGGCCTGGGGCTGATGTTTTAACATTTTCTAGGGGGCGCTGTGGAGGCTATTGGCCAATTATCATGCATTCTTGTTCAAGGGGTGGATAATGATCGATCATTGAGATTTTGGTGCATCTCAGCTCAAAACTGTGCAATTTAGAGCCAAACGTATTGCAATGGCATCACTTTTGACTTCGACACGCTGCCACGCTCACATTCTACAGCGAAAACGGTTTGTGCTTTAAAGCAAGTCAGACCATCTTGTTATATGTCTTCTAACACAGGATCATCCTGTTTAGTTCAAGGATGTCAGAGAGGGAGCATTCCAAGCAAAAAAAGTGACTTCCTGTTCTGAGGGGGCGGGGCTTTGATGACATCAGAATATGACCAAAGAGGATCGTGGGGCATAGGACAGGGATGGATTATGCCAAGTTTTGTGCATTTTGTTCTTTCAATGTGAAAGTTATAGTGTTTGGAAATTTAGGGCGTGAGGCGTAACTTTGAGACCTGGCCACGCCCCTTCAACATATATGAAAACGCAATTTTTTTGATAACTTTTATTCCCCAATGTCTTAAGGTCATATCCACCAAGTTTGAAGGCAATCTCTCAAAATGTCTAGGAGGAGTTCATTAAAATTTGTCATGTATGAAAAGTGAAAAAAGCCCCAAAATGACCCTTTGACCCAAAATGGCCGACTTCCTGTTGGGTTTAGGGCATACCTCCAAGAGACTTTTTTTCTTTAATCAGGGGGTTCTACCTTTGTACCAAATTTCAGCTCTCCACGGCTTACTAGTTCTCCTATCTCTTTTAGGAACTCTTGAGTCATTGTTTACCAATGAAGAACTCAGTACTTCCTTTCAACAAGTAAAGTGCCATGAAGATGGGATATATAGAGACATCAGTGATGGTTCCTATCTCAGAAATCACTCATTATTTTTAAAGCAAGAACATGCACTCCAAGTAAAGCTGTATTATTAGGCCCGAGCAGCGAAGCGGGGCGAAGGCCTATTGTAATTGTGCTGTTCATTATTTTTCTTTTTCTTCTCCAACAAGAGGTGCTAATTTGGAGGGGTTAACATATCTGAAAACTCACCAAACTTTACCCATAGTTGTCCCCCATGTATAAATTTTGTTTTTTAATTAAACCAAAAGTGTACGTGGCCAAATTGCTCCACAACACCCCCTAACGTGAGGTACATACATAAATTTGTCATTAACAGGAAT